GAATAAGTAGAAAATGCCTTCTCTTAGATTTTTAAAGACAAATTAATGAAAAGCAAAGATTTTGTTTGAAAGTATTTACCATCAGTTAAATTGTCAGAGTAAAATGGAGCACCCTGAGGTGCAGTAAGCACCATAAGAGAGGTTAGGGTACTAAGTACTTGTCAGAAGAGAATGAAGAGATCCCACTATCACATAATTATTGGCTCAGTCAAGTAACTTTTCAAGGCCTTATTAAAGTAGAGATTCTGTGGTTCTACAGAATTAGTACCATTCTCATCTCTCATAATATTGTAAAGATGTATTTATTTTAAAATAAAAACTTCCTTTGTCACTGTACCTCAAATCTTTTACATAATTTCTTGCCATATTACACCTACTTATTTCCTGATGCATGAATCAACAATTAACATGCTTCAACCAGTGCCTTTGATTTATTTCTCCTCTCTTGTCCTTTTTTTGTTTGTTTGTTTTTTTGTACCAGGGAACAAGAGCAAGGCGAGTGGAAGAACCACTGCTCCTCGGCCCTTCATCTTGTCATTTGAAGAAAATTTTCTCTTCTTTGTAATTTTAATCTTAACATATACAATTTCTGAATGCCAAATAATTGTGGTAAGTCACTTTAAAAAAAAAAACATAATGACTTAATCCAGCCTACAAGTAAAAATTGAGAAACTTTTTACTAATAAATTCTATCTTAATTCAATTACCCTTTGAGATGAAAGCTCCTGTGTACCTCAAAAATAAGCTGAGGTTTCATTTAGTGAATGTCTATAAAATACTCTGTAACGTTTTAGTGAAACAGTATATGGAAGGCAAGTATCCAGGTGAGTATCTTATAACTCCTTCCCCATATTTGTAGCATGTTACTTAAAATGATAATACAACTATCACCCAAAATTCTATGCTGATTCAATAAAGTTAATACAGTGCTTTTGAGGAAAAATATTATTAATTGTTTTATAATTTTTCTACATGATAGACTATTTCAAAAGTGTTTCATCTAAGCTGGTTGTGGTAGCAAATGTTTGTAATCCCAGCATTCTGGGAGACTGACACAGGGGGATCAAGATTTCCAGCCTTAGTCTGGGCAATACAGTGATTTAGTGAGATCCTCAAAATAAAAATAAAATCAAGGGCTGGGGATGTAGTTTAGTTCAAAATCTTAGGTTCAACCCCCGTGATGGAAAAAAAAATTCACCATTGAAGGTACAAGACCTATATAAGCAAATATTTCTGTAATTACACAGCCCTCAGAACAAATTATTCAATTCTCTGAATTATTTCCTTAAATATTAACAGTCTCCAAACAGAAAATTGGAAATATGTTTTTCATATTTTATTCACTTAATTTGTTAGGTTGTGTTTCCATTTCCAAAATTAATATGACTATATTCTCACTTGTTTCAGTAATATTATACAAAAGTTAATCAATTGAGGATGCAGTTATCTTTGGCTGCTACTCCAGTATCTAATTTCTTGGTCTAAAAATTACTTAGGTTGGAAAAAGAAAAGAATGACACAGACAATGAATATATATAAGCTACTTAAAAACAGATAAATACAGTATGTAGAATACTTAGATATGTTGCACATACTGATATACTGATTGATGACCTCATTTAGAGTTTGAAACTTCCTGGGGTGACTATTCAACTTTAAAACAAATAGTTCTCTAGTTTTACTTCATTTTGTATAAAACATTTCAACAGACTTATTTATTTTATAGAAAAAGTCAGAGTGGTATATATATATATATGGTAGACAAGGAAAACATGAAAATTGCATTTATTTTAATACTATTGCTCCACCCTGGAAAAAGACAGAACAGCTAAAAGGAAACTATTTGAAACATTATAATATCTTTGTAACTTAAATGCCAATCAGTAATATAGATCATTTCTTTGCTAAATTGAAAGTTATATTGTATGTTATTTTATACTTTCTATCATATATTATGTATCATCAATAAGAACATTTGTTTAAATGAATGTTCTTCTTTTTGACCTTGTGAGCAGTATTTGATTAAATAAAACTATAAACATATAAATAAACAGCTTTGCAGAGAACACTAAAAAATCACAACCTAGAATAAAAGATCCATCAAAATCACTTACTCCACGATATATTGTTTGTTTAAAATGTTTGTGTTTGAAGTACCCATTTTCAACCTTAAAATCGCATTCTAGTTATACAATCTTCCCTGGCTTTCCAATACCCTCAAGTATCATACCAGAGTTCCAGAATTTGCTCATCAACAAATAACCTTGAGAAAAAAATGAAGTGAAAACAGTTCCAAAAAGTGCAAAATATTCAACTATTCTGGGGTGGTGTTGCCTGATTTATTTCAGGGTTACTGTAACCCTCTCAAACCTTGAGGCTAAAGGGGCAATTGTGTGACTTCACACTTGCCCACACAGAATAGGGTGTACCCATGAAGGAGTTGCCTAAAATTGAGCAATCACCTGAAAAGGCCAGAAACATGTCTGTGACTCATCAGCCTACTGGTACTGATTGTTTTGTTTTTCTAAATCTGACCAATTTGTTATGAGGATAAGCTCTCTTGATACCCTTTATTGCACATAACTTCTAAACCCTGTTTTGGAGATCTAGTGAGTGAAACACTATGATAAACATTCTCTCCACATCTGTGTCTTCTCATATGTAAAGTACACACTGAAAATATTATTCACCTAGAAAATACCGAAGAAAGGGTTGGAATTCATGCCAGTTGAGCTGAAGTACTTCTTTTTAAAATCATAGATTTTGATATCACGATGCCTTTATCACTGTCTAGGTCCCTGTAGATAATTTAGCAATCTTAATGATCCTAAAGAACTTTGAATGTTTTGAAGAACGAATTGAAACATTTTAAGTATGCTGTTCTAAATCCATATTGCATGCCTATAACCAACAAGTTGCCGTACTGAATTTCCTGTGTGTGTGTGTGTGTGTGTGTGTGTATGTGTGTGCATATTTCAAAAAAGTCCACAGGCCCTGCTTCTCTCCATGACAATCTCTACCCTCTTTTAATGAGGGTAATATGAAGAGTAGACTATAATATATGTGCATAATACAGACTAGTGGCATAAAGTATCTAGAAAACAGAACAATAAAGGAAAAAAGGTCCTATCTCGTGGTCTGTTTCTCACAGGTTATGTATAAATTAAAAGAGAATTGTTTCCTTGCAAGAAGTGAGGTAGAGTTCCTTTGAAAGCTTTTAAAAATAGAGTCCATCTCATTTAAATTTGCAATTGTATATACATACGCAACTTTATTTGTCTTGGACAATTTAGTGCATTCGCTTAGGGAAGGAACGAGAGATACAGAGCTGCTCTCCCCCAGACGACAGACATCCTGTTCAGTTTGGGAGTTAGAAGAACATTGCCTTTTCTCCAGCACAGTTGCTGATGAAAGGGATCTGTTAAAAAGAACTGCGTTGGTTTACACTGCAGATTGAACAGAGCATTAAATGACTGCATTAATACGACTGCAGTGGAGGGTATTGGTCCCCTCCATAATGTAACAGTACTTGCACATAGGTGCAATAATTGCTCCTATGTCCTTATTTAATTTGTCACAAGAAGTGGTAACTAACATCTCTCCAGTAAATGCCCCACCTCCTCTGATGGTAGTTTACCCCCTCCGCAAGTGTAAATAGATGAGGGAATGTGTATACTTTCAAACTGTCACCCATGCCTCCCGAAGGTTGGGATTACTGCACATCGCTTGGAATGGCTCCCCGAGGGCTGAGCGGTATCGCCCACCGATACAGCTCAGAGCATCCTAATTTGATCGCATCCTCCTCCCCTCCTCCACCCCTGCCAGCGTGGGGCTGTAATTTTCCAAACAACCACGTCTCATTTGCAAAAGTTAAAATCAATCCACATCAACAGAATGCTGACTTCCTGACAGGGCTTCTCTTTGTAGAGCTGCCAGATTGTGACTGATAAAGGAGAGAGAGAGAGAGAGAGAGAGAGAGAGAGAGAGAGAGAGAGAGAGAGGGATCGCTTGCTTCCTGCTCCCTAAGCAGGGATTTGCCTGCGTTGCGCGGCGCGAGGACTGCGGCTGCTGATTTACACAGTTGGCGCGGAGGAGGGGCCGGGGTGCGGGGGGCCGAGCTGGCTGAGGCTCCGGTATGGGCTGATCTGGGGGCTCCCGAGCGCCGCTCCCTCGGTGCGCGATTTGGGGGCGGCTGATGGATTTGCATTCGGGTTCCAGCCTCGCGTTTTCCTATATTGCTTCCTAATACCCGACCTGGCGCTCCCGGTTTAGGAGCACACGTTGGTAAGTAGCGTGTAATCCGATTTTAGTTATTTCCTAGGCCATGGAAGTGGCACTTTTAAAGCAGGTCAGTCTTAAAAGATGCCTTGGCCGCCGCCGCCGCGAGCGTCTCCTTGGCCTGGAAGCTTCGGCGGTCTCCGCCTGTGCCCACCGCCCCTCCTGCTCCTGCTAGAAGTGAGGGACTCGACCGATCGCCTCACCTTCCTGCTGTGCCCGAGATTTCCCCAGCCCCGAGGACCCGGTGTGCGCAGCCATACTGTGCATCCGGGCCCCCGCCCTCCCTCTGGCCAACGCTGGGATCGGAGTCCAGTCGCCCCCTTCCAGCCTCCACTCCGCCTCTCCCCACCCCTTCTCTCGCGTCTGCGCTCCGCCACCCCCACTCCCACCCAGGCAAAGGGCAAAGAGCAAAGACGCTCGGGAGAAGCGAGGGCCACTTCCATCTCCTCGGACCGGAGGAGGCCGTGGGCGGGGGCTGCTCTGCGAGCGACTCTCTTTGGGGAAGAGCGCAGCGCCAGAGCGCGATCCCGGGAACCAGCCCGGAACCGCGAAGCTCGCGACCGAGCCGAGAACGCCGAGGGTTTCAGTCGAACGATCCCCAGTCCTGGGACGATCCCGGAGCCTGCCTGCCAGCGAGGGCGTACACCTTCCTGGTGCCCGAGATTTCCCCAGCCCCGAGGACCCGGTGTGCGCAGCCATACTGTGCATCCGGGCCCCCGCCCTCCCTCTGGCCAACGCTGGGATCGGAGTCCAGTCGCCCCCTTCCAGCCTCCACTCCGCCTCTCCCCACCCCTTCTCTCGCGTCTGCGCTCCGCCACCCCCACTCCCACCCAGGCAAAGGGCAAAGAGCAAAGACGCTCGGGAGAAGCGAGGGCCACTTCCATCTCCTCGGACCGGAGGAGGCCGTGGGCGGGGGCTGCTCTGCGAGCGACTCTCTTTGGGGAAGAGCGCAGCGCCAGAGCGCGATCCCGGGAACCAGCCCGGAACCGCGAAGCTCGCGACCGAGCCGAGAACGCCGAGGGTTTCAGTCGAACGATCCCCAGTCCTGGGACGATCCCGGAGCCTGCCTGCCAGCGAGGGCGTCTGGAGCTGTGATTCCCGAGCCACAGTCCCCGAATCGCCACGAGAGGTGCGCGCCCGCCTCTGGCTTTGGTATACAACGACCATCTTCCTGCAAGTCTCCAAGGTGGAAATACTTAAGGATTACAAGCGAGATTTGGTAGCCCTTCTGAAAGTTGGTAACCGGAAGAGAAGATACAAGGCTACAGGATGGAGGATGCAACTGAACCTCTCAGAGTTTGCCCCTCCCGCTGGGCAGCGCCTCGCTGCAAGCCTCGGCGATCCTGAGCGCTCCGCACTGATAGGTACTCCCGCCGTCCTTTCCCGCTTTGCCTAATTGAAATCAGTATTTCTCGCGTGTAGGATGCGCACCGTAGAGCGCACAGACTCTGGCCTCGGTGTCTTCTATACGTTCACAGGTGCTAGGGGTTGGTTGCATCTTTACAGGATCAGTTAGCTCTAAGGACGGTGGAAGGAGGGGTGCTGGAGACCAACAGACGCGCGGACCCCTTCTCAGGGAGGACGTGGGGACTCCCAGCAAATAGGCCAGGTGGTGGAGCGGAGGACCCCTCCCCCAGAGGACCGCTCTGTTGTATCGGAAGAGATCGGAGGAAACCGGCTCAAGCTCTAAACACGTTTTCCTTGCTAAACGCACCGATTGTGTCCTTTGCTTGTCGACAGCAGATTAGAAATGATCTTTAGGAGGCTCAAAGCTCTTCAGAAAATGAATGATGCAGCATTTTAATTATTTGTTTTAGGGGAGATTGTTTTGCTTCCATATTGGGATATTTAATATTAGTTCGGGAGAGATTAGGGAGCGTCAATACCCTGCAGTGAGGAGGGGGTGGGAAGGGGGCATTCTGGGGAGAAAGGGCTTCTTGTCCTCTCTTTGGACACACGGTGCTGGCGCTCTCAGCCAGACGCAGAAGAAACTGGGGCTCAGGGCCCTCCATCCCCTAACTTTTGGAGTCCTTCCGAAATCCTCTGAATGTGCTATCCTGAGAAAAGGAAAGGAAACTGGTGACACAGCCTTTAGGACGTGGTCGATGGCCAGAATTTAGGGAGTGGTAGTCCAAGCCAGAACAGAGACTTGATTTCAGAGGGAACCATTTCCTGACACTGGGAGGCTCAGGGAGGTCCCCGGGTTACCTTGATTCCATCCAAGCCTGGATTCGCAAACGCCCTGTGAAGCCCTCGCTGCATCTGCACGTCGTCGTCGGGCACTGAAGGTGCTGGGGTGGGAGTGAAGAGGCAGCTGTGTGCCGTGCGTGCGTGTGTGTGTGTGTGTGTGTGTGTGTGTGTGTGTGCGTGTGCGCGTGTGTGGGGGTGTGTGGAATTCTTCTGGTTCTGCGCTCAGGGGCCTGGTACGGACTTGCTTCTGAGCTGAGACCTATTTGTCAACAGAGTGGGTCCGGACCCTTGAGGGTGGGAACCTTAGAGAATCCTGCCAGCTGCTTGCACAGTCCCTGATCACTGCGTTCAGTCTTGGCTACTGCGCAGCAGTGGACACACGTGCGGTGGTTCTATCTGTAAAATGGTCTGTGAACCTGCTATGAATGACTTTTTAAAAATGTTTGCTTGAGTTGTTTGACATGTATTTTAGGCTGGTAAGAAATGTACACATAAGCCTTGCTTTTCCTTAACATTTGGTTTCATAAAAAGCGCTCTAAGGGGAAGCCAGCTCCATTTAACTAACTTTGAGCCCTTAGGCAACCGAGGCTGAGTTTGCTCCTCAGACCCGGAAGTCTCTCTCTTCCAGTACTGTGCGTTAGAGTCAGGATTGCTGTGTGTGCTGGTGAGTGGGAAGGACCTGTCTCCCACACCAGTTCCAGCTCCCTCCGCTCTGGCTCGCCGGTTTTGCCACTAGGCTGCATCGCCTCCCAGCAGGTACCATGGTAGGGCTGCCAGCTGAGCCTTAAAAAAACTCCCTTTAGAGGATTCTTGGGAACCGCTCCTGGGAACTTCACTTGGGAACCTATACTGAAACACCTTTCAATCACTCCTAACTCAAAGAACAAAGAACAACAACAACAAAAAGGAAAAATAAGAAGAAATAAAAAAGAAAGGAAAAGAAGTCTTGAAATCCTGCCCACTATTCCTAAGAGGCTTTTCCAAGTGGAAGAAGGTGAAATGTACTCAAGCTGGTACTCAAGTGTTCCGTCTCTCCTCCCACAGCATTGGCTTGTCCGTTTTGTTTGTTTGTTTGTGTATTTGTTTTTCAAGGGTGGAAGAAAATCACAATTTTTGAATTCAGGGGAAATCAAAGGCATTGAGCTGCAGTCCAACAGAAGGATTCCTGGTGCAGAGGGATCTAAGCAAAATACAGGAGAAACTCTGTCCAAGTCGCTCAGGAAGCCTGAGCTCTTATTTGGGACACCTAAGCAGATCTGGCTTTTCCTCTTTGGGGACCTGAATTCTCCCTCGTTTCAGTTTTTCAGCGACTGTCTGTGCTGTGGAAGGGCAATTCCGAAGGATAGTTTTCACTTTCCAGAAAAGCCAGCACCACAGAGAGCAGCTTTGGAAACTAGACTCACGGGGGGGGGGGGGG